GTTCAAGTGTGGATCAAAACACCAAACCAGGCCCTGCCCTCAAAAAGCTGGCTTGGTCTCCCACGGGGCGCCAGCTCAGCAGTATGGTTGAGGGGTAATGAAAAGGGCTCTAGCAGATGGCATCGAGCACCACTCTGTGCCAGGCATTGTAATCAGACGCTGCTGCAGGGACTGGAGCTTTGCTCGATGTGGTCATTTCAATGAGCAGCTCCTTTTTTCAGCCTCTAGTCCTCAAAGGGCAGGGTGGCAGGCAGGAAGGACCCTCACTCTCCCTCCCTCTTCCAGGAAGAGGGGTTTGGTGTTTCCCAGGAACAGGAGCATGGCAGGAGACTTGACCACATGTCCCCAGCAGGGCCTGAGGCCGGGCCAGCCTCACTGTGGCCGATGGGAGGAGACAGGCCTAGGACCAGCTCAAGAGGGAAGGGGCCTTCACCTGGCCACCAAGAAAAACAAGCTAGCATAGCAGGTGCTCACCGTTCTTCACATCTGGACACTCTTTTTGTTTTTTTATCTCATCTCATTTTATCCCTCCATCCGTCCTGTGTAGTCTAGTGGTTAACTGATATTAGCCCCATTTTATAGATGAGGAAATCGAAGTCTGGAGGGATTATATCTCTTGCTTAATACACAGCAGGAGAGCTGGGAGCAGATCCCAAGGTCCTGGTACTCCCAAATGTAGCGCAGGCCCATATCAACACTGCCCAGCTCTGCGTGTGGTGGATCCTTCAGCAGAGTTTGAAGCTGTCTGTGCTAACCCCAAATAGAGTCCTATCCCAGCCTCCAAGGGCAGGTGGGTCCTGATAGGAGTCATACACTAATAATATCAAAAATTAACTATTAAATGACATTTTCCACCCAAATACTTAGCACAGTGCCTGATACATACTGCTCAATATGTGTAGCTATTATTATTAATAGTAACGTATTTAATAATTCCTCCTGGTAAGTGCTTTATGGTTTCCAAGGCACTTTCCCCAGCAACACTTAGGCAGCTGGCTGCGGGGCAACGGCCTCATTTTACAGACTCCCCCAGAGGGGAGGTACCAGGGTCAAGGTCCCAGCTGTGGAGTGCGGAGTCACCTGCTCTGGGCTCCATCCTCCACACCAAGACTTGGAACCACCCACCTATTACAGAGGCCCAGGTAGAGCCTGAGCCCTTTAAGAGCCCTGGGACCGAGTGCAGGGAGAAACCCAAGGCCAGGCCTCTCCGCATGCTCTGGGGGGAGTGAGTAGCCGCCTGGCATTTTCCCTTTGATACTGATACAGGCATTTTAATAGCTGCAAAGATCAGGCGGGTGCTGTTTCGGCTCTGGCCATGCAGGGCATTCCAGGAGGCCCTGGCCGCCAGCAGGGGTGGAGCGGGACGGCTGCTCTGTCCAGGGCAGCTGGGGGTCCACACCAGGGCCTTAGAAGGTTTTCTACCCACCCTGAGCCTCAGCCTGGGCATGTCCCACCAGGAGCCTCCAACTCAGATGCCTAAGGGGGCCAGGCTGGTGGGCTCAGTAGGTGAAGCTGACTAGGGAGAGGGTACTGTGGTGACTTGGGCAGCACACGCCCACCTACCTAACAGGGGCAGCCATCACTCAGCCTCACCCAGTCATCACCATGGCCCAGTATCACCAGATCCTTCCACTGTACAAGGGAGACCAAAAATCCAGACCTTTATGTGAAATCTCCTGATTTGTAAGCAACAGCTATTTATTGAGCACCTACCATATGTCAGGCCTTGTTCTAGGCACTGGGGATATGGCAGTGAATAAAACAGACCAAAATATCCATGTCCTTGTGGAACTTACTTTCTATTTTTTTTTAAGATTTTATTTATTTATTTGAGAGAGAGAATGAGACAGAGAGAGCATGAGAGGGGGGAGGATCAGAGGGAGAAGCAGACTCCCCGCTGAGCAGGGAGTCTGACGCGGGACTCGATCCCTGGACTCCAGGATCATGACCTGAGCCGAAGGCAGTCGCTTAACCAACTGAGCCACCCAGGCACCCTGGAACTTACTTTCTAGTGATTGCAGTAGACAGTAAGCGAGATAAATGAACCAACAATACAACAAAATCCAGAGGAAAAAGATAAAACAGGGAAGAAGGATAGCAAGTATATTGCAGGAGGGCGCTGGGGGCAGAGGAGGCCTCACTGAGAGGGAGATGGTGGTTAGCCAGGAAATGAACTTCCCAGGTAGGCAGGCCAGCAAGTTCAAAGGCCCTGAGGTAGGAGAAAGCCAGGCATGCGCAGGAGTATCTAGGAGGCCTGTGTGGCCCCCTGGTGGCCGTGTTGAGAATGCTCTGTGGGGCAAAGGCAGGGGGACTCATCAAAAGGTTATCGCCGTGACCAGGCCAGAGATGACCAGGCTCAACTGGGTGTAGTGTGGAGGTTGTGGAAAGGGGTCAGATCCTGGATGTGTCTAGAAAGTAGAGAGCAGGAGTTGCTGACCAAATGGGCGTGGAGTGAGAGAGAAGGAGGCATCCCTGATGATCTCAAGGTCTGGCAAGATGGAGTCGCCATTCCCTATGACAAGGAAGACAGCAGAGGGGTAGGCCTGGGGGTGGTGGGGACAGAATATGAGGAGTCCGGTTTTGCAGAGCTCATTGTGCTCAAGTAGGCAGCTGGATATGTGCGTCTGGGTCTGGGGGAAGATCCGGGTTAGAGGCGCAGGGAGCGTGGCATAGTCACCTACAGATGGTATTGAAGACATGAGGCAGGGTGAGGGTCCCCAGGAGCCAGGGCAGAGAGGAAAGCAGTGAGGCTGGACCCTGCGGCCTCCACAGAGATGAGAAGCAACCGGCAGAGGAGATAGAAGGAGCACTGAGTGCCAGGAGGGAAACTGGGAGAGGGGCATCCTGCTGCCCAGTGAGGAAAGTGTGTCAGGGAGAAGGCAGGGCTAGCAAACACCATGACAGGCTGGGATGAGAAGGACAGTCCCCTGGGCTTAGCAGCACCGAGGTCACCGGTGACCTGGGGGATAGCACCGGGCGGAGGGTGAGTAGGAGCCCGGCAGGAGTGCTCCAGGAGAGAGAGAGGAGGAGTTTGCCCAGGACAGAGCTTGGTCAGGAGAGGATTTTTCTTTTCCTTTCTTTTTCATGGTGGGAGGAACACCAGCATGTTGGCCCAGTGATGATGTCAGGAGTGGGTAAGTGACCACTGCATCCCGCCCGAAGCCTGTTTGTGTAAATATGTCTTTATGGGAACACAGCTGTGCTTCTTTGGTTTTCAAGTTTTCTGTGGCTGCCTCTCACCTCCGACAGTAGAGCTGAGGAGTTGTGTCGCCATGTGCCTCACACAGCCCGGAATAGTCACTCGCTGGCCCTTTACAGAGAAGACGGAGCCTGATGCGAGCTAGGGATGGAGTCCGGAGGAGACCACTGCTGATGCAGGCGGGTGGGGAAGGCCCCGTGCGCAGCTGGACGGCTGGCCTCGCGTGGGAGGAGCAGCGAGAAGGGGCAGGTGTGGTCACAGCATGGGTGGCCCGGTCGCCTGGTGGCAGGAGCCTCTGCAGGCCTCTTCTGCTTGCTTTTCTCTCAGGACCGTCCGTTGACAGGGGCATGGGGGGAGGGGTGCTGGGCTGGGAGCGTGGAAGCCTGGAGAAGCAGGGCCCTCAAGCTGAGCTGATGGGCCAGGGAGACACCGTCTGCCTGCGGGGCTCTCATCTGGATCGTGGCGGTGAATAAAAGCGAGGCCAGTGGGCGAGGCCTGGATGGTGCACCATGGCATCTAACTTGTGCTAGTCTCATGGCTGTCACGAAGCCGTGGGAATGTCAAGGGTCTGTGTCACTAGAAATTCAGGCTCTGCCAGTGAGGAGGCCAATGATGGAGAAATGTTTATGGCAGGGTGGCCGATTCCTATGGCAGGAACTTTAGTATTCTGGTCATAGTCAATAACTGTGAGCCGCGGGACAGGCCCCCCCCGTGGCCAGGTCTACATGTGAAATCAGTCACTTCAAACTGCTGGACACAGATCCAATGGGGGGGGCGGGGAACAAACCACTGTAGGAACCAAATAAAATACATCTACAGGCCAACGTGGCCTGGGAGCTACCAGGTTCTCGCTGCTAGGCTAGCATCAGAGAGCATGGTGCCACTGTCCACCTCTGACCTTGGCCGTGCTCATCTCCCTGCCCCCCGCCCCGCCTTGCACCTTGGGTTCCTCCCCTGTAACTCGAGGATCACAAGTGCCCTCCGGGTGTCAGGCACCTTCCCTTCCATGCATCGACCATCCCAGTCCTCCCACGAACCCGGTGACGTAGGGACTCGAATCTGCCCAGGGTCCGAGAACTGCACATGAACCTCGGCAGCCTCTTCCTGGACGCATTGCTTGCAACCCCTGGGCAAGTGGGGCCCACCCTGTGTGGCTCAGCACGCTGCCCTTTGAAAAGCAGGCAGCCCAGGCCCTGGTGCTTGCGACCGTGTACCCGTCTGTCCGCCACCGTGGAAATGGCAGCTCCTGGGGAGCAGGAGATGTCCCGGTCTACTCGTTGCCACTTCCTTGGGGCCTTCCTGATTGGTTCAATGATTTGCAAAGAAGAGGTTCGAGAGCGGGGCAGGTGGCCTACTCAGCCCCCTATCCCCTACCCCTGACCAGCCTGCCTGGGCCTGGCTGTGAGGGACCCCAGAAAAACAGTCACTGTCCCTGACACCGGGATCAATCAAGAGCCCAGACCTAGACAGGAAACAATTAGCAGAGAGCCGAGAAAAGCAGGTCATTGTGCCCATGATGGTGGGGTGCAGGAAGGCCACAGCTGGTTTATAGGGCCCTGGGGTTGGGGTTAATTTCTTTAAGAGCACTCCTAAGACATCAGACACTGAGATTCCCTAGATGGGACCTTCTCCATCTGCTTCTTATTACGCAGACGCCCATGGCCAGTCTTTGATCCCGGAACAGTCCTCCTGCCAGCCCCCAGGCGGCCCTTTCTCCCCCTCCGTCCCCACCAGCCTGCAGACCCTTCCCAGGGCTTGGCCTTCCATTTCCGTGACTCCTCTCCTCTGTCTCCTTTTGCAGAGATGGAAGCTCCACTCTCGGAGGCGCCGGGAGGCCCTCCCGAAGCCGTCTTCAGGGTGTCACTGTCCGCCAGGTAAGGAGCTCTGCGAATAGCGGACGAGGATGGGGACAGGCACCAGAAGCCCTCTTAGTGGGTATGCTGTAGCCGCCCCTGCTCAGAGCGTCCCTTTTCACGTGAAAGACGGGAATGACAAAATCTGTGAGGCTTACCTTCCCTCTGCGGGTTTCATTTATTCAAGCGTTCATTCATTCGTCAACTCTTCTATGGGGGTGCGCGCCAGGTGGTGAAATCAGATACGATGGTGGGCGTGGCCATGTTCAGGACATCATGAAGCTTTACCACGAGGGCAGGGACCTGGCTCATCCAGTTCACAGTTGTGCCCCCAACTCCCGACACATAGTAGGTGTACAAACGTGTCACACGGATGAATGGATTACTCCATCCTTGTAAGACTTGCCTGCCCGAGCTAGACGGCTCAGGTGCGTTCGGGGCGAGGCATCGAGGCTGTACGCATTAATGCACACAAGCTAAGGGCTGCAAGGTGATGCGGGGCGTCAGCTGGACTCAGAGTCTGCTCTTGCCGTTGACCAGCCCTCTCGGCTCTGGTCGTTGGTGAGGATGCCCGCTCCAGTACTCTTCCTCCGCGTCTCGCCCGGAGCTCCTGCTCTGTTCTGGGTGCCCTGATGGATGTTGGGCTCAATGGCACTGTCCGCCATTAATAACGGTGACAAGTTACAGCTCACGAGGACTTTTCTAGGTTGCTGGCCATATGATTAAGCTATGAGAATGACAGACGGGCAAGTCTCATTGTTCCCATAAGTAACTGGAATGGACTGTCCTTCTTTGGGGGCGAGAGAGGAAACTTCCAAAAAGGATTTGTGGTGGGGAACACTTTGGAGTAATCACAGAGGGCCTCTGCCAGCTCCAGGTAGGCCCCTTGACACTCTCTGTGGGCATGTGACACGGGCAGGACACCCACAGGGCACAGGAGCTCAGGGGCCTTGGTAGTCCTCACCCAGGGGCCCCAGGCCAGGGAATGGAGGCCAACGGGTGGTGAGCATATAGGAAACGGAGGGCCCACGTTCTCAGAAGAGTGAGGGAGCTGGGCTGGGAGTCACAGTTCAGGGCGCTGCCCTGGGAAACGGTGGGGCCATGACGGAATTCAGCTGGCCCGTCGGGAGAGGGTCGCCCAGGTTAATTAAAAGGGTGTCTGAGTCCTGGGAAGCTCCCTCCCTCCCTCGGGGCCCAGGAGATTGAGCCCTGGCATCCGGGAAAGCTTCTGGGAGAAGAATGCCAAGGTTAATGAGATGGGATGAAGGTGAGGGAAGGGAAGCGGGGCCTGGGCAGAGCTCCCATAGCATCGGGATTTCTAAGGCAGCCGGGGCCTCAGATAAGCCTGTCCGTTCAGATAAGCCTGACCCGTAGCTCTCAGTCGATTGCAATCATCTTCCGCTCAAAGTCTATAATGCTGCTGAAGGGCAGGACCTTTGGAACCACAGAAAATAGAGGCTTGGGTCCAATCCTGACATTTACCAGGGGCGTGACCTTTAGAGAATGATTTAACCTCTCAGCCTCAGTTGCCTGGTGTGAAAAGTGGGGATAAGGGCCACCTTGCAGGTGTACGGTGGAGGTGGAGACCCAGTGAGCTAATCATGGAAAGTACTTAGTACCGTTCCTGATTGGTAGGAAGCACTATTACTGTTATTTCCTCAATTCCTCCTGTACTTAAAGATGTACAGAAATCCTATCAAATACCGTGTTCTGGTGCGGGGGGCGCTGTGGGTTGCACATTTATGGTAAGGCAAGCGGCTTGCTCTTCTCCCTCTCCGTCCTGATTGGGCTTCACGTGTCCTGCCCACCCTCCAAGTGGGTGTCTAACTAATAGGCGTCAATTTTGTGCTTGGGAGAGTCTGGCTCAGGTGGTCCTGGGAGGCTGGGCGGCTGGGGAGGGATGTGGTGGGAAGGAGGAAAATTCCAAAGCTGTTTCATCTCTCCTCACTTCTGGGAGTCTGTGGGCTCCCCGGGGGTCTTGGACAGGGAGGAGGAAGTGGCGAAGCCATGGTGAATGACTCAGAAGTGGGGGGAAGGAGGGACGCAGTGGGGAGCAGAAAAGGCTTGACGCTGGTCCTCTGTGGGGAGGAGCCACCAGCAGGGACCCAGCTGGCAGGAGATGGGAGGAGAGAGCCAGGGCTCCTGGGAGGGGTGTCCTGGGTGTTCGAGAATCACCCAAAGGGCAGTTTGGCCCAAATTAGAGATCAGCACCAGGTGGGTAGCACCAGGAGAATTTAATCAGAGGACGTAAAATTGAGGCAAAATCAGAAGAAGACTAAGATGCTCTCCCAGCTTTTTGGAGAGGCAGCAGGAAGGGACTGGAAGGGCTGCGAGGAGGCGTCTCAGACAATGGAACCACAGAGTAAAATGCATCTGCTGGGATGGGCTCGGTCCCGTTGGGTGGGTCCCTGCACCTGCCCCTTCTGCCCAACCAGGGGATTCTCACCACACGGTGAAGTTACTTCCTCCACACTGAAGCCTGCCCCCCAGGTGGCTGCCAAGCTGTCGTGAGTCATTGCACTTCCACCACAGCCCCTAACCCAGTACCTGCTACGTGTCAGGAACAGTACCGAGCACTTCATATTGATGGATGACCTTTCCAAGAACACTCCAAACAGGCAGAGTGGGTTTTTGACGTTCTAAAATAGTTGCAAACCTCCAAACTCAAGAGTAGAACGCCTCTCTCCTTCTTGGGCCTAAATGATGCATCTCAGATTATTTCCTTAAGGTCAGAGTTTATAAACCACTTTAGGAACCACTTTGAGGTTCCTGTTATTTGCAGAAGGACTTACACAACTGGAAAGTGCTACCCACAAAGTCAAAGCATTATCATTTTTGTCTTGCCAGCATCTCATAACATGCCTGTACATAGTAGATGCTCAATGCATCTCCAATAAAGGATCATTAATTACCCTTCCTGAGCAATTAGATTCTTTCCTGTGTTCTCCATCTGCCCTCTGGTTGGTTTCTGATACCTCCCCCTCCTTCACACACCACACATCCCACCCCACCCCACCCCAACACTGCCCTTCATCTTGCCTGATGCTGATCTTTCACTGCTTTTGGGACACAACACATAAACACGCATTCCTCCTGCCTTCTGTGGGATCCAAGCCTAGAATCTTGAGCCCGTGCCTGCCCCCAGTCCACCTCTGCGGCTGGCTGGGCTAAGGCGGAGTCCTGGGTGTGTTCTTCCTCGTGGCAGCCTTGGGCCCCTGGACGGCCTCCAGAGGGCTCAGGACACATAATCATGGGCAGAAAACCCACCTCCTTCCCCTCCTACTCTGACCTCACCAGCATCCTCCCAGGATCCTCCCTGTCCCAAAATAGCCATGCACTCCCCGAGATCTGGCTGTTCCTGGGCCCCATGCACTGTGTTCCACGGTTGTGATGGGCCTGCAGGCCTGGGCCAGGGTGCTGAAGGGTGGGCCTCGCTAGGATCGTCACAGCCTCTAGAAGTTCAGGGGAGTAAGCCTGGGCCATTCGCAAAGCATACGGCCCGGTGGGACGGGAGAAGGGCCTTGGGAACAAATCTACCCACCGTGAGACTTCCCAGGCCACTTGAGAAGAATACAAAGATTAGGGAAACTCCCATTTCGGTCCCTGTTCTCAGTACCAAATGAGGAGCAGGACAATACGGGCTCCAGGCAGCAAGAAAGCAGCTCCTTCAGGCCCGCCACGCTGGGGCTGGGCAGGGCTGGCGGTAGGAAGGAGCCCCGACAGGCAGCTGCGGGGGTAGGTGGCTCCATGATGTGGGCTTCATCTCCGAGGGAAGAGAGGAGCCCAGAGTCCCAGAGGTCTGGACTGCAAAAGCAGGGACGAGGGGGTGGCATGGTGGGGTCTGTGCATTCGCACCTGAGCCAGCCGTGGTTCGGAGCATGGATGAACCGGAGAGAGGTGGCCCTCAGGCTGGCTTGCGGGAGAGACCGTGGCCATCCCCTGGTTCACGGTGTGCTAACGAGCCAGCGAGCCCAGAGGAGCCTGGGGCTCGGGGAGAGCTTCACTGCGGAGGTGGCACTGGTGGTCGGCGGTAGGGCATCTGGTTAGCGTAGAGCCTCAGCTGCCGCCGTAACGACAGAGCTCCCGACACAGGGACTCCAACAAGGCGGAGCGGAGGTCTCTCCCTCTGCAGGCCAGACGGCGGTGGCGCCGGGCGGGGAAGGTGGCCTTGCCATCTCCTTCATGCGGCACGATGCTGGCAATTGCTTTGTTCTCACCATCCCAAGTTTTCAAGAGCAAAACGTGAAGGGGAAAAAAAAAATCCCACCTGCATCACTTCTGCTCGTATCCCATTGGCCAGCACTTAGTCACATGGTTACCAGCTCCGCGGGAGGCCAGGCAGGGGTTTTCTGCTGGGCAGCCAGGCGCCCAGACACAAGTCTGTTGCTGGGGCGGGTGTGGGGGCGCAGATAACGGAGGAAAGACTAGCAATCTGCGTAGACGCCGTTCCACCCGCACGGGCAGAGGCTCTGAGAAGAAGAAAAAGGCGGAATATGTGGGAACGACAAGCAGCTGGAGGAAGCTGGAGCATAGATCTGAAATAAGGGTGGGAAATGACAGCAAAGGGCCAGGCCGAGGAGTTGCAGCTCTCCCCCTGCCAAGAGAGGGAAACGGTTTTCATCCTGAGGGTGACTGATTAGTAATGGCTGCCCGGAGGGTGCAGCGTGGATTCGGAGGCTACATCAGGCTCCGTGGACGATGTGGTCATCGCTTAGGGATGTCTGTTGTGGGTGCAGGTGTGGCGAGCAGTAACACGTGCTCTGGCCTCAGGAGGTGATGGGGCATCAGGGAAGGGCTGGGGAGCAGGGATGAGACCTGATCCCGTTTGTAGTCTAGAACCGTATCTAGCAATGACGTGGAGGCTGGCTTGAGGGCAGAGAAGCCCCTTCCAGCAACGAAAGTTGGCAATTGATGTTCAGGCTGAAACAGCCCCTCTGGGCTTGGTTAGCTTCCATAAGTGGTAAGAGCTGGTGTCCACATGTCCTGAAGCCCTTTCTTTGTCTAGCCTTACCCTGGTTGCCCTGGTGGCGGATCTCCCCCTCCCCAGCAGTCTCAGGGCAT